TTTTGGACTTTGATTCTGAAAATATACAGAAATACGCCATGTTCCCCAGATTAAATGGCAGAGACTAGAGATAGCTTTTGCTATTGCAGGGATTAAAGTCTTTCCGAGGTACTTGAGAAGTCCTTTGGTCTCACCTTATGTTCTGTACGTTTCTCAGAATGCTGACTTGCACAGTGGTTTTAAAGAACAATTTCCATGGCCAACCTAGAGTAACTGTATTTCCACTATATGATTAGGAGATGGTTTATTCTTAGGTAATTGATAGAAATGTGATTAAACATTTCCATGTTTACTATAATTTGTTTTAGAATTGAAGTATTTTCTGATTCTGATTTCCACTGCATAAGAGATTAGAATAGGGGCTGGGGGGAGATGGCTCAGTAGAATAAGTGCTTCCCTGGCAAGTGCAAGGGCCTGAGTTCAATCCCTGGTTCCACCAAAAAGAAAAAAGAAAAAAAAGAATAGATATTTTAGTGACTAAACGAATAATGGTCTGCATTTATTGGACAGAACACCAATTATTTTTGGAAAGTAGTTTTTAAAGATTTTTTTCCTCATCCCCCCAGTTCCCAAGAGCATTTGCTCCTTACAGCTATCATCTGTTAGAGATTCGATCTATTAATTACATGTGAGCATTCATCAGTTGCTTGCTTGATACTTTTTGCAAAGCAACAGAACACTGCTAATGCTGCAAGACCCATTGGTTAAAAGCCAAGAACACGTCTCTGGCCAGAGCTCCCCAGTCTGGACACCTGGCACCGGTGCCCCGTGGCTTGCAAAGGAGGCACACTGCCGTGACACTGGTTGTTCTGATTCATGTCCACTTCTTGCTCTACTTTTATGCACGCACACGCACTTGCACACATGTGTATGATAAAGGAAAGCTCTAACAGCCCGGCACTTCTGTGGATGGACTTCGCTAGAGATAACCAGAATGCCTAAAGCTTCAGATCCAGACTACATTCAAAAGGATGTAACAAAAAAGAAAGATGATACAATGGAATATGACAATCACGTAGTATGAGATATTTAAGGATGAACTTAGCAATATTTTTATGTAAAATCCGTCATGAGTGAAAGTGTGGTAAACACTACAGCCCCCCAAACAAAGAATACACTTTACTGACCTAACTCTCAGCTATAACAGATCCAGTCCTCCCACATACACATCTGTTCAAGAGCAATAGGAAATGTCTGCATCTCATTATTACCCAGGGTTACAGCCAAGACATCCTTTAGAGGAAACACGATAGCTCTTTTACAATAAAAATATACAAAATAATTTTTGTGTTAACATAGCCTTCCAATTCCACTGATCTTTAGGATTTTAATCACAAAAAAAGTAATTCTCAACCTGTCACTTTTCAAATTTGTCTCAATATATATATATATATTTTATATATATATATAATATATATATAAAGCGAAATTATTTGAGGTTTCAAAGGCTATATCATACTCTACTGGCTCGGTTCTCTTTCATACTTGTACTTCCACTTGTTTCTGCTATTATTAGGGACCACTGTGAAAAAACTGGGAGGTTTAAGATCAATGGGTTTAGAAATGGAAGAAGAAAAAAGCTGTGAAAGCAAGGTAGTATTCTGAAGTCCGAGATAGATGCATTTATGCTGGATTAAGCCAAAACATCCTTCCTCATATTGCCCAGAGTTTATCATGTTACATTATACTGTGGAAAAGTCTACCAAATGGGATTAAATCTTTTAGGCTAATGGACATGGTTTCTAATCATTTTTTAGGGAGGGTGGACAGGTTAAGATATTTTTTCTCACTTGCTTTTGAGAAACTTTCGTATAGCTCAATATCAGCATTTTCTTTTCATAGAGAGATCTTGTGAATTTAAACATCATTCGTAATATGGTTGGAATTGGGGAAAGCTCTTACAAAATTAAGTGTCCCTAAATTGCATTTTAGCTTAATGCCTTATTTGAAAATGAAAACAGAAATGGGTCTCAAATAAATACCCTCAGCCCTATCATTTCTGGCCAAGAAGGCTAGCTGAACTAAGTGGATAAGAAGAGTGCACGGAGGGTTGGGGAGACCACTGCCATGTGCTGTACACAGGTGTGAGCCTGAAAAAAACGAAGCTCAGTAATCTGCATAACCAATATCTACTAGTGAAAAATGTGCCAAAAAGTTGTTTTCTTGAAAAATTTGGAGAAATCCTATCAAAACTGAAAGCAGAAATCCCTCAGAATGCTAGTAGCCAGGAAAGGGGAAATCGAGAGTGAAGGGAGGCCTTCTAAATGTCAGCACACTCAGATTCTTTTTTCAATTGATCCAAAGTAGGGTGAGGTACATGGAGAACAGCTGGAAAGGAGATAGGTGGGTAGACAGGGAGCTGTCCCAAGGCTCAGAGAGCCGACTAGTAGGCTCAGGGACTCATTTCTATTTTGAAATTAACAATGGGAAAATGCTTTTCAAAGCACCACAATCCAATGACAAGGATCTGGGCCAGCGATTTATCTCAGCTGCATAGCACCTGTCTGGGAAGCACAAGGTCCTAAGTTCAATTTCTGGTACCAAACCGAACAAAAACCAAAACAACAAAAGACAAGGATCTGAGGGAATACCATAAGACATGTCAGTGTAAGTCAAGGGAGAAAATAAATGCTATGAAACTTGGAAAACTTACTTTGAAGCCTGTACACTTCAGGAAAGAAACTTGACTCTTTATGCAACAACACAAAAACTACCATCTCCTAAAATTTCCCCGTTAGAGATATTAGAGATACGTTCTATCATCACTATTCCACAAAGAAATGCAGAAGAAAGAGTTTAAAATCCCCCAAATTTTCTCTGATTAGCAACCACCAGTAAATGCAAGAGCTGCAGTGGGAGGGTTAGCAGGGCAGGGCGGAGAGCTTCAGCTCTTGGTACACCTGCTTTCCAAAACGGAGCAGGGCACCACAAAGCCGGCTGTGCCTGGTGACACTTTTACACAACACTGACTGACGGTGGCTCTACCAGCACACACCTTGACAGAATGGCAAACCTGGGGCTGACATACTAGCTTCACTCAGACAATTATCAACAAAACATCAAATCATCAAGTTCTGGGTTTTGTTAATTAAGAAATACATTATCAATGAGGAAAACAGACACAACAACAGATGAAAAATTTATCGATTGGATGTTTTTAAAAGATGTAAATATGGTGTCACCAGTGATACCTTAAATCAAATGTCCTATCTATTCAGTCTGTTACTGTGTACTTTAATTATAAATCAGATTTGGCATTACATTAATTGATATTATTTTGAGTGGCATGCCCAAAAAGAATGATAAAATTGGAAACCCATCATTTATTAGTTTACTAGTTTGAAATTTTGTGTACTAAATAAAAGTTTTTCAAAATTACGCATTGAAGATATCCTACAAAATAGAAAAAATAAAATGGGCTACACTTCTTACATGTAAGGAAAAATTTTGTCTTCTCAATTTATCTGTTTTTAGAAGTTTGTTTGTACTATCAAACTAGGCCATGAAGAAAGAAATACGACATTCCCCATTTACTGACAATTCAAATTGTCAATAAATTCCAACTTTATTAGCATCTCAAAGTTAAATTGTAAAAGTACACCTATGAATTGTATGCATGTGTACATGAACTGTATGTAGGGCACACATATAATCTACATATGTGTACATATACATAATATAAGCATGTCTGAATGCATATAATCTATATAACTGTGCCAGAAGCACATTTTGGTATCAGTTATTATAAAAAATCGTTGCCTAAAGATATATCACTTTTATTAACAGTCTGGGACTTGCTCAGTGTCATGCTGACTATTTCAATAGCAAAACAACTTTGTTCTCAAGGACAGCGCTTTTAAAAGATGATCTCTAACATCTGTGGCTAATACTTTTTTTACTTATAGAACAAAAGCTTTCTGAAATTTCACAGTGGGACATAGTCTGCTTTTCTGTGAGTGAGAGCAAGGAGTGCACACGTGGTTCTTGTTTGCTTGCGTCCGCGTGCAGGTTCCTGCCGTTCTCAGGAAACCGCGGGCTGGCTGACGCACTTGGCTCCCGGGGAGCACGCCTGCCCGCCACACCTGCCCGCCACTTGGACAGACTCTGGGCTCTGCGCCCTGTGTCTGCTGCTGCTCCTGGGCAGGGAGTACATTTGCGGCTGGAACGGGAGAAGGAAGAGAGACGACGCCAGTGTGGGCTTTCCCTCTTTCCCTCTTTTCTAAAACAGACACTTAGTGGAAGAGCTGCAAATCAATACAAAAAGAGTATTTTCGCTACCACCACAGAAATTTTAGCTATGAAAAGCTCTTCTGATGTGTTCTGTGTCTTCTGAACAAGTTTCCCTGCGATTTTTATAATACTGTGAATTGGAGTTAGAATCAGAACCTTTGGTGTAAGAAATAATTTTGTACTTTATAAAACAATTGTACTTTTGACAATGAGTTGCATTTTCCTTTGTTGTAAGAAATAATTTTGCATTTTATAAAAACAATTGTATTTCAACAATGAGTCACATATGTAATTGGGTTTACTGGTAAAAAACAAGGAGAGGTTAAAAGATGAAGCGTTCTAGGCACTCTGGCCCAGAGGAGTGCTGGTGCAGGGTGGTCACGGCAGGGGGGGCCCTTCTTTATAAAATTCCATGACATAGCTCTATATTACATAAAATTGGTAGCAAATGTACGATGTGCTGCAAATTATGGTATTATACTAACATTAGAGAAAAATTTAATACAGTCAATTAATTTTATCACATGAAAAAGCAAATATATTGATCATGTGTGTGATATTTCTGATATTTGGAAGATATAATAAAATTAGTATAAATATTATTTAAATTCTAATAATTACAGCAGAAACAAAATTAAGAAGTAGCAGTGACAAATGAAAGATTAAACAAAAGCATATTACATGACAACTTATCAAAGCAATAACAGTAAATAACATACTATGCTCTAAACAATAAAGAAATATCAAAAATTGTATTGGAATTGAAATGATTCTTATCCCAAATATTAAAGAAGAATACGAAATATAGCATCTAAAAGCCTGAGAAGAACACAAAGCAGAGAAAATGAAAGACACGTCATTAGCCCAATGTGGTTGTTATTTAGGAATGGATAAAACATGTAAAAAATGTCACTACAGTTAGATTAACATAAAAAATCAACATGCCACATCTAAATAATTTTTTAAAACAGCTGAAAAAACAAATTTCATAAAATCTAGACAGCTTCCAGTATAATACATAAATACGCCCAGACACCGACTAATCCTAAATTTCCCAACAGGCAGCTTTAGCCAGGTCCTTGGAGCAGGGTCTTGGTCACTCAAGGATCACTGGACAAGAAATCCGTCGAGTTGGACTAGAGCCACCCAGCTGCCTTAATAATGAATGCTCCACACTGTCTGTTAAATAAAGAGAAAATACAGATCAAAAAGAGAACAGAGAAAAGGGAGAAAGAGCAGATAAGCATTCGATATGAGACAACATTTACTAAGTACTTCAGAACACGTAGTACTGCTAGGAGTGCTACGAGGCAGGAAGCCTGCAGTGAGGAAAGCCAGGACATGGGAAAGGCTGCTCCCTGACGTCTGAGAGCTTAAAATCTGTATCAGACAATCTCTAATGTCCCGGCACTAGGTAGTATACAAAAGGAGGAATACATCAGCATAAATTACATTACAAGATTTTCTTGTACTTGTTTTAAAAGGGGAATAATGTTTGCTAGAAGGTTACTTAGGAATTGGTCTAAAACCCCGAGAAACCCTTCGAGGTGGCTTCAGCAGAGGCCTAAGTACTTGTGGTGTGCCTGGGCCGTCCTGGGACTGTTCTGAAATTGTTAACACTGGCTGGGTGCTGACCTGGACATCTAGCTCAGGTCAGAGCCCACGTAAGATGCACCTGACAGGATCACTGAAAGACAGTAACAAACTGGCTTTAAGTTACAATTAAGTATAGAAGATACCATGTAGTATCAAGAGGTCAGAAACATCACTGGAATTATTTTGATTTTAGAAGAGTGAAATGGGGAAACTGAGTGATGAGGATTCTGAAAAGAAAGTGTAAGAAACTGTGTACATGTCCATTTCTGTTTGAAGAGATTGTGGCCACCACACAGAGGGTAATGTTTTAGCATTAAGTTAGGAAGCAAATTAAGGCACTGACATCAACTTCAAACACCACAGAAATGAAGTGAAAGCTGGAAAAACAGTGCAGTGGACAAAGAGAACTGCGTGCATTAGCAGTAGCTAAGGAGGAATAAATATATTTCTGACAGTAGTGCTCGAAGTTCAAACTGAATGCAAAGAAAAGGAGCCACATCCGAGGGTTAGTGGAACTGGAGGCCACGTGAGGTGACAGAGTTAAGTGAAATGGCTAAAGGACAAGAACTGGCACAAGATCCTAGGGACTCCAAGAACCCTCGGCACAGAAATTACTGGATCCTGGCAATATTCTTAGGCGGGTGCTGCTGTCCCACCTTATCTTCAGTTTTATGCTTTATACTTTCAATTACACTATTAAATGGAAAATTCCAGAACTAAATAATTCCTAAGTATAATTTAACAAGCCTGATTTAGGTTGTTTGCTGCTCTGAGCAGTGGGATGAAATCGTGCGCCGTCTTGCTCCGTCGTGCCCTGGTGGTAAATCCTGCCTTCCTTTGCTCAGCACCTCTGCGATGTATGTGCTATCTGCCCAATAGTCACTTAGCAGCCGTAATGGCTATCAGAATGACAACTCAAGTGCTTCTACATATGCAGGGCTTGGAACTGTTGGAGGTCTTAGGCATTTTCTGGGGATCTTGCAATGTATTCTCCATGGATAAGAAGGATGGAACTACTTTATTTGGAATAAACTGCAATTACAGATGGAATAGTTCACATGGAATAAAAAGACATGGCCCACACTCCATGCCCGTGCAAGTCAGAAACATCAATGTAAAATATTAGTGACACATGGAATACAAAATCCTGCTTGTTCGCAGGTCTTCTAGATCCAGTCTTCTGCATGTACATAGCCAGTTTTTCCAACGCCGTTTATTAAAAGGGCCATCTTGTATGTTTTTGGCCTCTTTCTCAAAGATCAAATAGTTGAATGTGCCTGCGATTCTTTCTGCACTCTGTTTTGTTCCACTGATCCTCGTGTCTGCTTCTGTCAGTACCACGCTATTTTTATCCCTGCAGCTTTTTTTTTTTTTCCCTGCAGCTTTGTAATATAACTTCAAGTGCCGGACTGTGATGCCTCCTGCGTTGCTCTTGTTACCTTAGATCATTTTGCCATCCCGAGTCTCTTCTGACTCCATATGAATTTTGGGAGTGTCGTGTCCAGTTCTGTCAACAATGCCACTGCTATTTTGATTGGGTCTCCATTAAATCTGTACATCAATTTTGCAAGCATGGCTATTTGGACTATTCTGCCTATTCAGGATTAGGGGACACCTTTCCATTTTCTGATAACTTCTTTGATCTTTGGTTGTCACTGTAGAGGCCTTTCCCCCAGAGGAGTTAATTCCTAAGTTGGTTTTTCTTGATGCTATTACAAGTGGTATTATTTCCTAATTTCTTTCTCCATGGGTTCGTTATTGGAGCACAGGAGCAATGCTGATTCTTGCGTGCTTTGTATCACGCTATATGAATGCATTTGGTTATTAATACCAAGAATCTCTGGGTGGACTTTCCTGGGTGTTTTATGTACAGAATCGTGTCATCTTCCTATGATAATTGGACTTCTTTCCTATGTGTATTTATTTTTTCTTGCCTAACTGTTCTTGCTAATGTTTGAGTATTACATTGAACAGAGGTGGTGATAGTGGCCATCCTCGTCTTCTTCCTGATTTCAGAAGGTCACTTTTTAAGTGTATTTGGTACAGAGTCTCACTATGCAACTTGGACTCATAGTCATCCTCCTGTTTTCAGCCTCCCCAGCTCTGGGATTACAGCTGTGTGTCACCACACCTGGATTCGGTGGCCTGCTCTGTGTGCCCTGGGGTGGGGCCAGCATGGCATGTGGCGCCGGGGATCAAACTCTAGTCCCCGCGCTTGCTTAAGCAGGCGCTTAGTCTGCTGAGCTATCTCACTGGCTCTCTGATTTTATTTTTTTACTGTCTAATAAATTATTTTAAAAAATAAAATAGAAATTAATGTTGTTTACTAGCAAACACATCATACATTTGTGGTTGGTGAGAATATACTTTCTCGGTCACTTCCCAATGGACATGCTCTATTCCTCTGACTCTCAAAATTTTCTGTAAGGCTAACCCCATCTTCCATATATCCTACACACCAGTGTAAAATTGTCAACTATACAACAGTAATTTAATGAATTTTAATAAAAAGTGAGGATGAATTAAAGATTTCTAAGTAGGAGTCAGGCAATCTGGATCCCCATGAATTGAAGTAGTAATTCTCATCTTTCCCTGTCTCCAAGTCACCACGTGGCAGCTGGGGGGGTGCACTCCTGCAGTCGCAGCACTGAGGAGGACGAGGCGGAGGATCACGGTCTCAGGCCAGCCTTCACTACATAGCAAGATGCAAACAAGTAACACAAAAGATCCCCACTTCTCTATGGGGGACAATGGAGGAATAACAAATTTGAGTATTAATGAACAGATGGTAAGTAAAATTCTCATATTCCTTATCTTGATTGAGAGTATCACATTTTACTGCAGTGGGAAGAGCATGAACAGAACACACCTAATTTTTAATCACTGTTTTTTTTTTTAAAGAAACGACTTATTTACTCAAAGGACTGAAAAAAAATCTGTCTCATTGAATTTTATACTTAGCAAACATACCTTTGAAAACTAAAGGTAAAATATTTTCCAGTTAAACAAACTCGAAATATTCTAATACCTCCAGATATAGCATATAGAAAATAACAAAGATCATAATCCAGAAGTCAGGAGAAGTTGCTGTATGGGCCTGGATAAAGAAGAAAGTGCTCTCAAAATGGTAGTCATACAGGACTATGTAATATATAATTATATTAGATAACCCATTTAATGTTTTTAATTAATTAATAAATTAATTTATTTTTTGTGGAACTGAGGATTGAACTCAAGCCCTTGTGCTTTCCAGGCAAGCGCTTATTCTACTGAGCCATCTCCCTGGCCCAGATGAACCCATTTAAAACTTGAAGACTTCCACAAAACAGTATCAATCTTATGTTGTTATACACATATTTTTTCATATATGTATGTGTGTGTATGTGTAAAAAACAAGGAAGAACTAATATAAAGTCAATGGAAAATGGAAATATACTTTTTAAAGTTTCTAATACTGGGAGAAAATATCATGCCATGTCTTATAGGTAGCCCTCTGATTTTAGAAGGAAATCGTTCAATTTTTTCCCATTTTGATGTTGGCAGTAGGCTTGTCATAAATGGCTTTTACCAGATTGAGATAACGTCCTTTTTTACATATTTTCTTCACATTTTTATCATGAAAGGATGTTGGATATTCTCAAAGGCTTTCCTGCATCTTTAAAAATAAGCATGTGACTTTTGTCTTTGCTTCTGTTTATATATTTATTGATTTCATATGGCGAACCATCTTACATTTCCAGAATGAATTTTACTTGATTATAATGTATCATGATATTTTCAATGATATGCTGCACTGTTTGCCAGTATCTTGTTGAGAATTTTCACATCTATATTTATTAATGAAATTTGTCTGTAGTTCACTTTTTTTTCCTCTCTGTATTTAGGATAGGGTCTACAGGGTCTACTGGGTCTCACTACATAGACCGGACTTGTAGTGATCTGCCTGTTTTCAGCCTCCCAAGCACTGGGATTACAAGTGCGTGCTACCACGCCCAGTCTCAACTGCCATCTCAGCGCACCCTGAGGGTGGGGCCGGCACGGCACACTAGGGATCGAACCCCGGCTGCTGTGCTCTGCCTAAGCAGGCGCTTTAGTCTGCCCCTTGTAGTTAACTTTTTTGATTGGATCTTTGTCTGGTCTTGAAATCAAGTACTACTAGCTTTCAGAACTGACTTTGGGAGTATCTGTCCCCTTTTAATATTTTAAGAGCTTGAGGAGTATGTGTGTTAGATCTTCTCTGATGTTTCTGGAGATTTTAGCAGTGAATTCATCCATATCTGGCCTTTTCTTGGTTTGTAGGTTTTCTGATTTTCACTCATTCAAATTAATCTTTGCATTGGCTCGGAGCTGCTGGGTCCAGTTTCTATGTTCTCTTGTCATTTCGAAGGTTCCTTTATTAATCATTCACAGGCAATAGCTATGTGTTCTAGTTCTGACACAATGTGCCCACATGTCTCATTTCTGCCCATACTTCCTGACAGAAGCTTGAATCTCCTGAATGTCTATTTGAAGGCTTTCATGGGCTCTTACTTGTTCTGTGCTCATCGCTCATGTTTTGCACTGTCCTGTCTAGCCCTCCTAGCTTTTTGTGTCTTCTGCAAACTCCCTGCTTTATTTGGCCCAGTACCTTACTGTGAGGTGCCAAATGCCTTGTTGAGCTGCTTGTTGTTGTCTGGCTTTTGGTTTCCCCACTGTAATGCCCCGCGGATGGAAGCATTCTGATGGCTTATCATCTCATGTTTCTATTTTTTGTTTGTTTTTGTTTTGAAGGTTGTGGGTTGACTGTAGTACAAAGTTTTTGTTTTTAGTGTGGATACCCCTTTAGTTAACATATACTTTCCTGCAGTTTCTTCTGGTTGTGGCTAACTTCTGTCCTGTACCTCTGTCCAGGTTCAGGCCATCTACACTGACTTGGGATGGGAGGGTGCAGTATATTCAGCCTAGTACTCAGTTCTCCAGGAATGGGCCACAGTACTGTTAGGATCCACAAGGCAAACCAGGCACTGACATCCCAAGAAAATCAGCTAGTAGCAACAGCTGTGTCATCTTTGTTATGGGAATAAAACCCGCATCAATTATAGCATCAAGCACAAACTGAGCACTGACAATGATCCTAAGGGCTTGTCAGCACAGTTTGTGTTGGATAGCCTGACTGACAGAATAAATTATAGAAAAGACATCTCTTTTCTATAATCTTAAAATAGAATTAAATTTTCAATTAAGAATGCTTAACATTTCCCCAACCTATGCTATTCACTATTCCATTCTCTTATTTGAATTACTTAATCAGTATATTTTCAAGTATTTGTGATTTTTTTCTCTCACTGAAAAATACTTAGTAGCCGTCTGATATTAGCAACACCAGCTACTTCTGGAGATTATATTTGGAGAAAATGTTAACATCAGAGGATGACTGTAAAATATTTTAGAACAATGCTAAAATATGAAGTCTCTATAAGTAAGGTTTAGTAAAAATCGGGACTGACATGAGTCCAAAACTGTAGTTCTGTTTTGTATTTACACTGCGGTGTTAGAGAAGTTCGCGGCGTAGTCACAATGGTGAGTGCAGGCTGGGCGAGGAGAGGCGTGCCGTGTAGGCTGGGTCAGTACTGGGCTTCACACACAGGATGGGCTAGAAGTACGAGTATCAGCACGCAACAGCTCATTTCTATTGTTTTCCTGCAAAGAGCATGCCTCCTTTCCTTGGCAAACTGCAATGCACATGAGAATTATGCGGCCGTGTCAATAATCAATCTGCAGTTCTTTAGTAGAGATAAAGTCCATTTCCCAAAAGTGACGGGACAAAGATCGCACTGAGAAACAGCTAATAAAGGCGTAAAAGGTATTCCTGTTACACCGTGGACAGTCACGTTATGTATTCATGCGCACCTAACTACACTTCGTCATTTTTTTTTTAACATTTATTTATTTGTGTGTGTGTGTGTGTGGCCAGCTCAGCCCACCAGGGGGCGGGGCTGGCTGGCATGTGGTGCTGGGGGATTGAACCGTGGTCCCTGTGCTTTGCCAAGCTTGTTCCAAGTAGGTGCTTTAGACCACTGGGCCATCTCACCAGCCCACTTCATCATTTTTTGGCCTGAATCTGATTTATGAAGCATGAACACATACCTAGTCAGAAAGATCAGCTCATTAACTTTTAATCTCTCCATAAAGATTAAGTGACATCAACATAGATAATCAGAAGCTGAGTATGTAAAATATATATGTAGACTAGGAAAACTCACAGTAGATGAAATCATCAAGGAGAGGGGGATAATGAAAGGAGATGACTTACAGCTTTATGACAACAATTTCTATTTGGGCAATGGAAAGGTTGAGAAATGGGGATTATCTGTACATCACTGTGAATGTAATTAATGCCACTCAATTTTTATTCAAAATGTTTTTTTTTTTTTTTTCCCAGAACTGGGGATTGAGCTCAGGCCCTTGCGTTTGCCAGGGAAGCGCTTATTCCACCGAGCCATCTCCCCGGCCCCTCAAAATGGTTTGAATGGTAGACCTTAAATTTATATTTATCTTATCACAATAAGCAAAAATTTGGGTCATGTATGAGTCATTGTGTTTCTAAAACTAATAGGAATTATAATTAATTTCTGTATTTCTATAACATGAATGAATTCTATTTTGATCACAAATATGATAAAAACACCATTTCTGTTTCCTGAAAGGCAATTTGGGAAAGCTGACATATAACTGAAGAAAAACAGAAAAAGAACAACATAAACTTCTTACTTTAATTGCTTCAGTCTGCATCACAGGCGCAGGCATGGCAAAGGCACTCGGAGCGTAGACTTGGTGGTACGTTGCTTGGACTCCATGATCAGAATAAGGCTGTTATGAAAGGGAAGGGGGAGTAGGGAAGCAGGCAATGTGGGGGGAGAGATTATTTTTATTAATTAAAATAGTAACTTAGCAGTACAATGTGCTAAGTATGCTGCTACACAATGCAAAGAACCATAAAAATGCATTATCTCTGGTTAATTAACATCTGATCAAGAAACAGACAGCAGTCAAACTGTCACGTGTCCCATGAGGAACTGGGAAAGAATGAGGGAGTCATGTCCCCAAAGCCACAGAGGGAGGGAGGAATACACCTCATCTGGGCAACGTGCCGAGGGAGTCTGGCAGGCCTGAAAAAAGCGCCCGAACTGTAAGACAGCGGGAAGGACAGACAGGCAACAGAACAGGGAAACCAGAGGGATGGCTTGTCTCACTCGAACATAGGAAAGTCCGTAAGTCTGATGTTTAATCATATGTGAAGGGGCAGAGAGGAATTAGGAATGTGACATGTACAATTTAGAGTTTTTGTAGCACTTCCGGGAAAGGCATACTGTCCAACAGAAACATAATGTGAACTGCATATGCAACAGGAAATTTTCCAGGACCCACGCGAGAAGAGAGTCATGGGTGAAACTAGTTTTTAACTATATACTTTACTTAAACCAAAAGGCTCAAACTATTATCACATCAAAATATATAAAGTATTAAATTATACAGCTTTTAACCTTGAGGGGGCAGGCTATGTCATAGAAACCCGGTATGGATTTCACATGACATCTCAATTTGATTTTGCCACAGTCAAGAGCTTATGGCCACATGTGGAGAATGAGTATGGGACAGGCAGTCTGAAACAATTCATATTCACCCATTAAGCCTCAGAAGAACTGGAAAAAGAGCAGCAATAAAAAATAAGAGTGAGAAAAGAATGAGAGAATCAATAAAAGTGTTGACAGTAAATATAAAGATACATCATGCTGAAATTACTGTTCCAGAACAAGCACTAGAGCATTATAAACCTTAGCAGCAGGAAGCAGCAAGGCACGCAGACCAGGTGGTGGGGGCTCATGTCTACATCTTACAACAGTGATTTAAAATATGCCACTTGACCTCACTTTGTAGGCTGGTCTTGAACGTGCAGTGAGCCTCCTGCCTCAGCCTCCCTAGTGCTGGGATGATTATATTTTCAACTGGCAGAATATTAGCAATAATACAGTCGACAGGCAAAGTGAGAAAGCAAAGCGTTTGCTGTGTTACTATTTCCGACATAAAGTCAGAGAGTGACGCAGCGACTGAGGAGTGACCAGCCCTGGATAGTGCAGTCCGAGCTGAAGCGTTCTTAGATATAAAAAAGGGGAAAGACATAAATAAATCAAAGATAAAGCAGCTTCAATGGAGGTCTTGAACAAACTAGAAAAAGAAGTAGCTGAAGAGCAGTTACTTTAGTATGAATGCTCCAATTGCCTAGCATGTGCAAGACTAGTCCATGCCCAGCACTGCCCCAAATTCAAACCAAACAGGTAAACAGAAGCCGCAGCTACCTCTGGAATGGGGGCTTCCATCAGAGACAGTGGAGGGGGGGCGCAGCCACCATCCTGGGCAAGCTCCATGGGCTGGTAAATTACTTCCGAAGGTTGCAGGTACAAGAGTGGAGTAGAAGAGGCAGGAGACTAAAATACAAATTCAAACATGATTAACTGTTTCTGTTAGGCAAGTGACGGTGAGCCTTTCAGGGTTTTCCCTGACAATATACAGCTGGCCGTGGCACCTGCGTCCCAGGCTCTGCACCACTGTGCTATGGCAATGACCCAGAGGTGAGAAATGTGCTTGTTTCATATTTTCCTAAACAACTTTTTAAGGGATACCACAGAATTATCCTAGAAATAGATTAGGAGCTCTGGGGCATTATAAATTCAAATTGCACAGATGTTATTAAAGAACAGTCAGTTGGAATGATTCTCACCCTGACTATATGTACTGATATCTGTGAACTAAGCTACTGCACTGCAGATGGTAAT